CGGCGGCGGCAGTGCTGGTTCCGATGACGGTGGTGGCGGCGTTGGTGCCGGTGACGGCGTTGGTGTCGGTGAAAGCGCTGGTGCTGGGGCGGCGGCCACAGTGGTGCCTTTACTTGCAAAAGAATATTATTAAAATAATAAATGTATGATTAAATAGAACAAATAAATGACTTTTAGTCACTTTTTTGGAAAATTTTAAAACAAGTCACATTTTTGTCTTTTTCAATCATTTTAGTAATATTGGAATAAAAAGCCTTCAAACATACCATACTACATTAGAAATGAGATTTATGTTAAATTCAAATGAATATAACGTCCAAAATGAATGAGCACACACAAATGCGTTTTTGATTTTTTTGATACTCATTTTGTAAGTTATGTGTGCTCCTTTGGTACTGCTTAATACTCATTTTAAAAGGTTTGCACATTTCAAACATATCATACTACATTAAATTCACATATTGAAATTAATTGAAATTGATTATAGACATAACTTAAGACTTTTTAATAAACGAAAAAATAATAAACAGAAAGTGATATATAAGGTATGAAGCAGGGATCACTGATGCTCATCGTTAGGCTCCTAATACTCAAAAGAACAGATTTGATGCTCATCAAAATTGCACAAATACTCATTTAAGAGAATCCCCGATTTTCACAAAAATTACAAGTTTGCCACCGGTGTACGGTATACAGATCCTCAATTGAGTGTTATTATGAGTTCGAGGGTTCAATTGATTGAGTATAAACTTTAGGGGCTTAATTGATAGTAGCTATTTGATAGTTTCCCCTTAAGTGGCTACTTAATTCTAGAATGCGCACATGGTAAACTATCACGTTGAGCGCAATAGCCTTTAACCACACCTACCAAGTAAATCACACAAACCAAGCTTTGTGTGACATAACATCCCAGTCACTATATCACTTACTGTACCAACTCAATCACTTTTATGTCCTTGTTCATACATATTTAAATGATTATACGAAACATATCATCAATTGCACACTCATTTTTTACACGAAACTCTGGTGTGAGAGCATGTCATGCTCACAAGAATAGGGTTGACTAACCCCCTTACAATCTCTATTTTTCATACATTCTTTTATATTTTTTACTTTTTTTATCTTGTAGTTTAACCTTTTCACAGTGTTCTACGAGGCGGCAAAAGACGAGGTCTAGGCGCGCAGTGGCGGATCCAGGATACGAAGTTATTGGGGGCGGGGTAAACAAAAAATGTATAAAAAAAATTAATAAAGTATCAATGTAACAGTACAATAATTTTAACAAAATACATCACACTTGTTCGCGCCCAGTTTTAATCTTTTGGAAAATATTCATTATAATTTCATTTGTAACAATTTCAAATTTCAATAAAAGTTTTAACAAAATACATCACAATTAACTTTTGTAATACATTAATACATTTTATTTAACTACCTAAAGTAACATATTATTTATATTTAGTGTTTCTAACATATTAAATGCCATTTTGTAATTTATAATTTCTAAGTGTAAAACATTACATTAATAGATGGGTAACTATTTCGGAAACACACCAATTGAATTTAATCTAATTGATCTTTCTAAAATATTAAATCCGATTCATTTAAATAAATAACACTATAATAAATTTTTAACATTATTATCAGTTTAGTAATACTATTTAGGAAGTTTTTACTTGGATTGTTTTCAATCCCGGACCAGATCAGATCCGACTAAATAGACCAGACCAGACTTAAACAGACCAGATCAGACTTAAATATACCATACCAGACTTTACTTGCGTAGTTATAAAATAAACAAAGACCAGAAATTTACCAGACCAGATCATACTTAAACAGACTAGACCAGTAAATTGTAGTCCAAGTAAAAACATCCTTAATATTTATATTAGGGAAAATGGACAAATAAACCCACGTACTAATAAAAAAAGGTCAAATAAGTCCTTATTTAGAAGGCTCTGTCCGACCGTCAAGATTTGGGGCGGTTTCCGGTGGAATTGTTTGATGAAATTATTTGAGCATCTTATTCATTGACTCTAGTTTTCTCATACCAAATTTTATCTAACAATTCAATCGAGAAGACATTCAAATGAATTCTTGAAGATAACTGCATTTTTAACTGCACAATTATCTTCAAGAATTCATGTGAATGTCTTCGCGATGGAAGTTTTAGCTAAAATTTGGTATGCATAAACTAGACTGAATGAATAAGATGCTAAAAAAAATTCATCAGATAATTCCTTTGGGAACCGCCCCAAATGAGGACAACTAGACAGAGCTTCCTAAATAAGGACTTATTTGACCTTTTTTTGTTAGTACATGGGCTTATTTGCCCATTTTCCTTTTATATTAAATAAGGAAAGTAAACAATATATAAAGTCATAAAACAACTATACGGAGTACTACACTAGCAAAGGGGCAACTACTTCTTTTTATTGGGAGCAATTCATTTTTTCTATTGGGGGCAACTACTTCTTTTTATTGTGGGCAATTACTTGGACCTTTAATTTTAATTAAAAACTTACAAAGGGTTAGTGGGATCTTATTGGGGGCAGCTGCCCCCCCCCCCCCCCCCTCATATGTGAGTAGATCCGCCCCTGTAGGCGCGCCTATGCGTGAGGCGGCGGAAAAACGCCCCACACGGTAGAAAGGCGGTCAACTGAAGAGTTGACCATCAAATACGTGAAAGGGCAGAAGATTTTTAGATAAAATGTTATTTAAAAAATTGATAAATTTAGAAATAAAATGCTTTTACAAATAATTTATATAGTAATCTAATATGGAGTAGTAAAAAGGAACAATATATCATTTTGTATTTGCACTTTTTATACATTCAAAATTATATATATTGAACAAAATGAAAATTAGGTTCAATCTAGCTTGTATAATACTATGTATATTTGAGACATTTATTTTTTCTTCGTACATCACTAAAATGTCTTTCCACGTCTAAGCTTAGCTTATTCTCACCTAGGCTTCAAAATTGAGGTTTGCTCTCGACGCCTTGTCACGCCTCATGTCATTTAGAACACCGCCATTTCATCTATGATCTCTATTTTTAAACATTCCTCACACTATTTATTATTTCTACTTTCTTTATAAAGTCCATAAAAATGTATAATCATGGTAAATAAAACATAAGGAGTGAGCATTGTAGAGATGCTTTTTAAATTTTGAGTATTTGATTTCCACAGCTTCAGCCTGATCGGTAATCAATGATTCCGACTTATTAGTTTTATGATTCTAACTTATAATCAAATGCATAATTGTTAATTTCACGCGTTGAATTACGTAATGATTAAAATAAATAAGACTGAACTTGCTTTCATGATCAAATTGAATGAATTCGGTGAAAAGGACTATTTAAACTATTTTTTCATATAATATTTTTAATTAATTTTTTTGAAAAAAACATAACCAATTTTATTAATAAAATATATAATTATATTTTTATTAATAAAATATTTCTCATATAGTTATTTTTTGAAAAAATATAATTATTATCATTAATAAAATATATAATTATATTTTCAAAATAATGTATACTATGTAATTGTTTTTACTAATAAAATATATATATATATATATATTTAAAATCATTATATTTAGTCAATTCATAATTTCTTTCGATGTGTAGATTTAAACAAGGTAAATTTTATGATATCCTCAAGGTACTCTATCACAATTGAAATATCACAATTGAACAATTTAAATAATAATAATAAATGATGAGATAATAATTTGGATCAATTAAATATATTGTATGTACAATACACTTATTTATTTAATTTGTGAAGTGTAGTACTAATCACCTTTAGTCCGGTTCCAAGACTATAGTATCAATGAATCGTGTTTGATATATATGTTTTGTACAATCTTATTTTTGTCAGGACGAAAAAGTAGGGGTGTATACAAGATTTTTCCAAAATCAATTGTTAAATAAAGGAAAAAGGTCAAATAATTTTTTTTATAATTTCTATTTCATCACTTAAGTCCTTGTACTGAAAAAAGGAGTAATTTGAGTTTGTACCCCATATTATTGTCTAAATTAGACTTTGCACCATGTTTTTAAAAATCTTTGTTTTTGCACCTCAACCCTACATGAAAAGATAAAAGTGCCCTCAATCAGGACTATGTTGAAGGTCAACAAAATTGTTAATGCAGGGGCATTTTTGTCTTTTCATGTAGGGTTGAAGGTGCAAAAATGAAGATTTTTTAAAACGGGATGCAATGTCCAGTTTAGACAATAATATGGGGTGCAAACTCCAATTACCCCTAAAAAAGTACCATATAACTACATTTACTATCGAAAATGGATCAATTTGGCCATTTATTCAGTTTTTGACCTATAATAGTAGATTTTTTCTATTAAAAATTCTAAAAAATCGTAAAAATTTGAATAAATATAGATGAAAATTTTCAGAATGTCAAAGTCAATATCTTTAGTTTTTTGAAATTATTTGTATATTATGCATATATTTTGAAATTTTATACTTTTTGCATTTTCACTTTCTTTTCAGATTTCTGATTTTTATTTTTTACTTTAACGTTTTTAAATTATTGATCTATTTTTATATTATTACCGGCGGTGTGCGCACTACGTGCGAACGGTGCCCAACGTGGTTATTTAAAAATGTTATTGCAAAAGATTATTGTTCAAAAAGTGAAGAATTCAAATAGTATATGAAAACCGAGTTTAGTTTTATAATGTTAGAATCCTTTATTTTTTACAAAGTGAAGACTATGTGGGAGATATTTTAGTAACACTAACAATAGAAATCAATGCAATATACTCGTTTACTACAAAGCTTGTGTTATTTTTTGATTAATTGCAGCTTAAATAATGGACTATTTAATTTAGTTTGAATGTTAGTGTTTTAATTTGAAAATAAATGGAGCTTTTAATATTAAATATATGCAACCATAACATACTTTTTCTGTAAAAGGTATTAATGTCCTTAATATGTATGTTATTGACTATTACATTCCCTGAACAGGAGATTCATGAATTGGTGGCTAAACACAAGAAGGCTTTGCGCAAGTCTTTTGGTTGGTTATTTTTTCAAAACTTGGCCCAGTATGTTGAATTTGCGCAAGTCTTTTGAAATCATCGGTTTCAAAGGTAGTTTTCAACTGGGTTTATTGAATCAAAAGCACGTTTTAATAAGATTTGATTTGGATGAGGATTATTTGCGCTGTTGGAATAAACAAACTTGGACCATTCATGGATGTGTCATGCGTGTGACCAAGTGCACACCGAATTTCAAGCCAAATGTGGAATCTCCTGTGATTACGGTTTGGCTCGGTTTTGAAGAGTTACCGATCCATTTACGGGATCAAAGAGCTTTGTTTGACACGAGAATTGAGTCCTATCATTTTATACTTTTCTCATGTGATGTCTTTCCGCACTCATTTGAATTTCTTTAGACAAATTCAACCCTTACATTATATTATGGGTCTATAATATGTGTAGGATGGTCCAAATAACTTATATGGTGTACAAATAACAGGAGAAAAACCTTACCCCCCCTGTTAGTTCAATAATGTCAAAGATGGAACCATAGGAGTTTGTTTTTGTCTCCATGGGTTCCATCACCTCTTTATTCGTGTACATAAATTATTATTGTCCCTCTAATATTTATTTGGATTCTAGAATAGGTGTGGGATACCCTCAAGTGGGTCTAGGATACACTTTTCCAATTATCTTACTATTTTTAGCAAGTTGGACCTAAAGTAACAATTGGGCTGCCCAACCTTCCTTATTTGGTCTAGAAGGGTTATGAATGTTTCTTTATATTGTATTGGAGTCTTATATCTAATAAGATCACCCAATTAAGTATTTGGAAGTCCATCATTGTAATGTACGATTAATCATACATTACATAAAGCATTAATCGTTTTACAATTGTTTGATAATAGGGAAATCAATACATCAACTTTGAATTTTAAATTGTAATTTCAATAACGTCCGGGTTGCGGTGTTACAAACGTAGTTTTGTGTCTTGGATATGTTTTATTTTTTAGCAACCTATATTGACTATAATGAGTAGCTGTTTGATGTTTCTAAGTTGACTAGGCTATAAGGAGCATGTATTTGTTTTTTTGGTGAATGAGCTTGTGTTCTATTTACTGGGCACAAGAGTAGGGGTGGGATCGGTCCGGTCCAGTCCGGGTCGGGTTTTTGCTAAACCCGGAAATTACCCGTAAGGCATCGGGTTATGAAAATTAGGGACCGAAAAAAGCCCACTATATTCAGTCCGAGTCGGGTTTTTTGTAGCCCGGGTTCGGTCCGGGTTCGGGTTGGGTCGGTTAAAGCCCGAATGTGAAATTACTCGTTTTTCTTTTATATTTTAAAATCAATTTTCAAATAAAATTAATAAAAAGTACAAACCACAAATAAAATTAATAAAAATCACAAATATTAATCTCCAAAATCACCAAGAATATAAATCCAAAGAAGACAATTATCATAATATTTTATTTAAGATGCATAAAAATAAGTAATATAGGTGTTCTAAAAATGTTATGAAATAAAATTTATGGATAAAAATGTAACTAAATTTAATATAAATATGTTTTCATGGTCATTACGGTAAATAAATTGAACATATTTGTAGTCACTAAAAGTTATTAAGTCATTTTTTCGTCAATCATGATTATAGTCATAAATTAGAAATGAATTTATAAATTATACTGGTATATTATATTGATTTTATATCAAGGCTAATTGTTTCGGGTTATATCGGTCCGGGCCGGGTTATAGATTTTAGGGCCCATTAAAGAGCCCGAAGTTTCGGTTTCGGTCCGGGTTTTTTTTATTCGGGCCGGTCAAAAAGAAAAAACTCAGACCGATATCATAATTCGGGCCGGGTCAGGGCCGGTTTCCGGGTTTCGGTTCGGGTTTTCCCACCCCTACACAAGAGCCACCACTTGAAATGGCGGCTTTTGTACAACATAGATGAACTGCCACTTCGAGTGACGACTTTCCTTAAATCCAGTTAACTCCAATAGTATTTTGGGAATTATTATTTAATTAACCTTATTTTAGGAATAAACTCTTTATTATTTAAACGAAGATTATACGGAGTATTATTTTTCGGATTTACTACTCCATATTCTTTCACACAAAAAAATGACTACTCCGTGACTATACATATTCAAAACTAGACACTTAAAACCCGTTAGACCATTTGGAGTGGTTCGAGAGTCTAAAGGTCAAAAATGAACTCCGTTCATATGAAAACAGTGTTTTGACTCCTATTTCTCTGCATTCCAGCACCGTCAATAAAATACACTCTGCACATTCTTTTACATATCAATTTAATAAAACATTAATTAAATTATTATAAATAATTTTTTTCTTTTAATTTTTTCCCTGAATAATTATGAAATAAAAAATACACATTTCGATGTAAAAATAAATAAATTTCATTAATTTTTTAATGTTTTTCGGTTAACAAAAAATGAACTTAGTTCAAGTAAAGTTCGATTATAAAATATTCAGTTATTTATGAAGATTCCATGAATTAAAAAAATGTGTTTCATCGTTTTTTAGACCGAAGAGAACTTCAACAGTTAAAACTTAAGAATTTTTGTTTCCTTTTATATATTACATTTTGGTGTCATATGAAAGATCATAAAATTTTATTAATTTTGATATATATTTTGAAAAATTTGAAGAACAAATAAAAAAGTTATACAAGTTTTTAAAAAATTGGGATATTGTGATGCAATGATGACATCAGCACTACACACAAGAGAAATTTACCATGCGTATGATTAAAATAATTGATCTTTTTCATCATATGACTAGGCAGTTATATTTCCTATTATACTACCACATGCCATGCATAATAATAGATGGTATCTTCCGTTTTTTCCTTTTCTTGTCCCATACTAACTCATAGTTCTATCATGTTCACATGACTAGTCATATATTGGGAATCTCCCCATGTTTTGATCATATGCTGGTAAATTTCCCTACACACAATTGGGATATTGGCCGGCCCCCTTTTCTTCTTTTTTCTTTATTTTTCCCTTTTCCACACTCTCAACCCACCCTCTATATTTAATTCCTTCCATTCACTTTCCCACTTTTAATACCCCTTCTAAACCACCACTACACACAATTAGGAATCCAAAATTTTCACATTCATTTGGACTCCTAATAGTCTAATACCTCACCGCTCCAAATGGTCTTAGAACAGAGCAGCTAGAAGCGTCGCCAATAGAAGGAGAGCAAGCGGGGGAGTGTTCGAAGTTGAGAGATGGCGGAAGAGAAGAAGATAACGATAAAGTTGTTTTGCGCTCCTATTGCAAAGTTAGTGCCGGTGGTGGCTTTGGAAGTCCAGAGACTTGACTTGGGGCTCATAGACTGGACCTTTGGGAATCAATATCGAACCAACGACGTTGAAGCTAAATGGGCACTTCGTAAGCAGAGGGATCGATCTTATAGCATCCTCTGTAACCTGGAAGTCTCTTATTTCCTTCTTCTCAGCTCGCGGTTTCTCCGATCCTACACCGGTCAATTATGGGTTTGATCGATGGCTTATAAGCTAAGTGCCCTTCCTCATAATCAACCAGTCTTTTGAGAGTGAGTTCTACACATGAGCTTATAACACTGATATGGTCCTAGTATGGGCCAGGTCCATAACAAATTGTATCAGAGCCATCCCCATCTTCCTGGTCCCGACACTCAGAGTGGTGGCCTATGGAGTGGTGGCTTGGGTCTTGGGGGTGCCAACCGTCACCAACATAATCGTGACCAACGATCCCACACCGGTCAATTATGGAATTGACCGGTGACTTTTAAGCTAGGTGTCCCCTCCTCCTAATCGGCTAGTCTTTTGGGAGTGAGTTCTACATCTGGACTTATGAAACTGGTATGAGCCTAGTATGGGCTAGGTCCATAACACACTTCCAACTCCGATGCCCTTATTGTCGACGACAAGCTCTCTAAACTCGGCTCCAAAAGTAGATACGCATTCCATTCACTACTTTACTTTATTTCACCAATTCAATTGCGTGAAGGATTGATTTTAACTTTTAAGCAAAATTACATTTGGTTGACGATCGGGACAAAATGAACTACTCCGTATAATTTTAGAGCTCCAACTCTGTGCACATGAGAGAAAAATGTGTGTAGACTTATTTTTTGTGTCTATATCTCTAGTGAGTCTAGACTCGAGACAATTTAGGTTTCTCATTATACACAAGTTTATTTTGTCGTAACTCTTAAGCGGTTCATTTTTATCTATAAATAATACATTACAAAGATACAATTACTCTTAAGTTTATTTTGCCATGTGTCATGCTCTAAACAACTCTATCAAATCTAGCGTACTTATTTATAGATTTAGATAATTACCGTTAAAGCTCGTACGTAAAAGGCTTTCATAGATTAGAGTTTCTAAAATCTAGCACTACTTAAAGACTCTTTTGTAGATTAGAATTAGAATTGCTAAAAATAAGAACTCCATGAGTTAGATTAGAATTCAACAAAATTAGAATTCCAAAAGTCTACAGATTTCTCATATCTAAAAGTGAAAAAGTTTAAAAGAATCCTAACATCACAAATAAAAATAAGAGAAAAATTCATAGAGAGGATTAAAACTTAAAAGAGGACTGAATCATCGGTAATCTTCATGAAAATTTCAGAAAGAGGACTAAATCATCGGTAAGCTTTATGAAAATTTGATAAAGAGTTCCGGTTCGGTTCCAACATTTATTCGTTATTTGTTAATGATTCGGTTCCTATTTCTTATTAACGGTTCAGATATTGGTTGCTGAAAAAAATATGTACATGAAACCGTTAAAGAACCGTAATATATAATAATTAATTTTTTATATATTTTAATGTACACTTATTTATTTTTATGTTATACCGACTATTTTTGTTTAGTTATTTAAGTATTAAACATTACAGAGTATTATTTATTTTAACGGGTTCCTCTAAGGCTCTTAGGCCTCTTATTAGAGGCCCGGATGGTTGGAACCGAGTGCTCTACTTGTGAAATTATTTTAATCAATTATTTGATTGTTTTGAGTTTTTTTTGAATTAATGTTAATTAATTAATTAATTACGAAAATAATGTTGGGTTAAAAGTATTTACCGATCTACTGCTGGGTTTAACCATGGTCGGGGTAAATCGCCAAACGGTTAGGCGACTTATAAGTCGCCCATAAGTCGCCCAACCGTTTAGCGACTTACCCCTGACTATAAATTTCCTATAAACAAGGTCTCCTTTCTCCTATTTAGGGGTTACGAAATAGATACAACAATTACAAAACATACAACACACCTTCTCACAAACACACACATAACACCTTCTCTCAACAACATACAAAACACCGCATACATACCTTTCACAAATAAGATACAAACTAGTAGATTCATAACCAGTAAAACACAATACAATAATCCAATATTCATAACACAGTAGTCATCTAATATTCATAATCGAACACATCGACACATCATAAAAGAGTTTACAGGTGGAAATACGTAAAATAAAGTCAATTCTTCCTACAACATCTAGTCGTGGCCTTCAGTCACTCTTCCTTTACTGCTTTCACACCTATTAACAAAATAAGCATTAACGCAGAAAAAGGAAACCTGGACCAAAGCGGTGATGGGCAAATATCTGGCATTTTTTATCACACTGTTGAAAACCTCAGCCAGATTAGAAGTGATGGTACCGTATCTGTATCCGCCATCGTGGTGTAATGACCACATTTCCAAGGGAATGTTCCCCATAAATTGTCGCGCCTCCACCCGCATTTCCCCTATCTTCTTTAACCCACCATCAAACTTCTTTTCCTGATGTTGCTGTGCGGTTCAGACAAACAAATTGTTTTGGTGAATGTCTTTGAAATGAGTGTGCACATTTGATGCAAGATGGCGGATACATAGCCTATGGTGCGC